ATAAGAAGCAAAAGGTGGGTGTCCTTGGATGACCACACTTCTGGCAAGATGGGGGTGCAGCCTAATGTGCTAATGAGCTGTGCTGTCATGGGTGTGTCCTAATATGCTAATGAGTTTCTGCTGTTGGGTGTGGCCTGTTATGCTAATGAGTTCCTGCTGGGCTTTTTCTACAAAAAGAGCCCTGAATATTTACGTACTTTCCCAATAATGTTATTTACAGTTACACTTTGAGATCAATAATATACTGACATGATGGTTGAATATATCTTTTATGCCAGTCTGTTCATTACATGTTTAGTCACCTGAAATCCTTGGCACAGTCAACCATACCCCCTCCCTGATATTTCGCAGTCAAAAATAGCCTAGTTCTAATGCCTAGGGTTCACAGCCTACGCATGCACACACCTTAGGGTTCCCAGCTTCCAGGTGGCAGCTGGAGATGTCTGGGGATTCCAACCAGTGTTCCCTCTAAGACCCTGAATAAAACCCATCATGCACTACCAAAGATTTCATTTGTTTTTATACAGATCCCACCTGAGTGTTCACATTTATCTGATAGGTTGTTGTACAAAGTATTCCGTTGCTAAGTATGGGGATTACTCGGGGTTTTGGCATGTCTCTGGAGCAAGGATCCCTCACATGGAGCCCCTGGGAGCCGTCATGCCCGCTGATACCTTTCCTGATGTTCACCAAGGGTTTCTAGAAAGTAGGCCGGGACCAGAGGTCATTTCGGGGGGGATCGCAGTTCCCCCCGGTGAGGTACGGGGGGCTGGGCACATGACGAAGCCCCGCCCCCTGCTTCCAGCCGCCCCACTTCCGGCCCTCATTCAGCCAGGAGGAGGCAGGAGAAGAGGGAGGGTAAGTTGCTTCCTCCCTGCCTCTCCCCACCCCTGCCTGCCTGGGGCCAGGGAGGGCCTTCGCGGGGCTTCCTTGCACTCCCACCGGCTTTGCGGGTCCACCGCCGGGCCTCTCATGGGGCTCGGCAGTGGAGCTGAAAGGCCGGCGCTGGCAGCCAGGACCGTTGGGGGTGGGGTGTGTGGCCTTATGACACACTTCTGGTGATGTCAGGGGGTGTGGCATATGCTAATGAGTTATGCTAATGAGTTCCCCTAGCTCTTTTTCTACGAAACGACCCCTGGCCGGGACAAGTTGTCAGCTATGCTGCCATGAGGGTTGGGGAGTTCATTCTGTGTCTTGTTAATTGCTTTTGCATTCCTATCCCTGCTGTTCTGCCTTTGCTGTAATGCTTATCTCTACAGATGTGCAGGAGGAGGTTGTGTTGTCTGGAGAGCTCCTATGTACCGTGAGAGACTCCGAGTTCTCGGCTTTAACCACCTAACGGTTGCCTGACTTATCCCGCGCGCGGGAGGGTGCCTAATTGGCCAATGCCATGGGGGGGTGCATACAAATACCCTATATCCTATTATGTTCTACTGGCTGTGGCCATTCTTAACAGGACCTCTGTTACTGCATCTATAGCTTTGCGATAAAAGTATAATCGTTCCCGAATGCGTGTACTTTGTTGTTAGCTGATGACGTGGGGCTTCCACCCAGCGGGGCTTCTGATTGGCCACTGGAGATCTGACTGAGCAGATTTTTTTTCAGGTTACCTCAGCAGCAGCTGCTTGCCGCCACAGCACAAGAATCCTCCCTGTATGTCAAGCAACTTGTTCATTTTAAAAGGCATCCTGTTAAACAGAGCGTCAGGCTGAAATGGTGACATGTGACCTCACTCCTGGACACTGTGTGGCTGGCTCTGCCTTCTGAGGCAGTCATTGGTTCTTTCCGCACTTAAATCCTGGCTCACCCCTGCCCCCGAACTTACATTCTACACAACGTGCGAGCTCACCCCTGTAATTATCTTGGGGTATTTTTTGTTTCCACATTACATTGAGGACACTCCAGTTTCACCCCACACTTGTCCTGGAATAAAGGGATGCTGTTATAACCAGGGATAAATGCACAGTGTTGTGTCGCGAGTTGAACTCTAATAAAACCAGGGATGAGATCCAAGTGCGGAAATTCCCATTTTGTAGTTGTGCCCACCATCCAGTCTCAGATGGTAGAACTCTATGGCAGAGGCCATTTTTACCATAGGGTTTTTGCCCTGATACCAGAGTGTCGGGGTGGCATTGCAACGTTGATGATACAATGCGGAAGTGAAGTACGTTCTGGTACAATGCGGAAGTGAAGTCGCCAGGCAACGTTGATGACATCACTTCTGGTACAATGCGGAAGTGAAGTCGCCACATCGCCGGCAGGCTCAAAAAGATTGGGGACCATGTTATACAACAAGGGGGGGGTGGCTGCCTCTTTCAGGGTAGATGAGTTCCTGAGTTGGCCAGGCCGGCAGTTCTTGATGGGAATGGGAAAGGTCAAAGCAGAAAAGGACAGTTGGCACAAGCCATATGGCATCTAGGGTTGCCAGCTCCCCCGCTGGAAGTGGGGATTCCCCCACACACACACCAGGCCCCGCCCCACCCATGATCAGCTGGCCGGTGGGGGGGGGACTTGCCAGGAACAGGAGGAAGGCCCAGGCTACATCGCTGGTCCAACATGTACTAGACGTGATGTCACCCTGCTGGCGATGTCACGGCAACACTCTGGTACTTGGGCAAAAACTCTATGGTGGAAGCCATTTTTAACATAGAGTTTTTGCCCCGATGCCAGAGTGTTGGTGTGACATCACACAACATGATGACATCACTTTCGGTACAATGTCAAAGTGAAGTCGCCACATCGCCGGAAACATAGCCTGGGCCTCCTTTCTGCTCCTGGTAAGCCCCACCCCACCCCACCCCATCCCCTGCCAATTGCCAGAAGGGACCTGACAGTCCTAATGGTACTTCCAGGGCCAGCACCCCTCTTGGGACACCCATAGACAGCTGTTTTTCTAGCTTGTGCTGAAAGCCAGCCTTGCAGATAGCCATGTTAGGAATCGCCTCCAGTAACTAGGTACTCCTGATTTTAGTTAATTTGTGTTGGCTTTGTGTAGGCCTTGAAGTGGAAAGGCAGTGTGGTGTAGGGGTTAGGGCACTGGCCAAGGCTGGGAGTTCACTGGGTGATCTTGGGCCCGTCAGGCTCTGCCTCTCCATCCAGTTCACCTCACAGAGTTGTTGTTGGGAGGATAACATGAAGAAGGGCAGGACGGCCTACCCTGGTCTGAATGCCTCGAAAGAAGACCAGAATAAAAAGAGACTCGATGGCCTTCAGAAGTTTTGTTTACCTCAGTTTTGTGTTTTTTTAATGTTCATTTTTGTAAGCCACCTTGAACACTTTCTAGAAGGGCAGGATAAGGATGACATCGGTAATTCGATAAAAATGTAGACTGCTTCCAGAGACCCAGTTTGGTGCGGTAGGTCAAGGGTCGCTGACTCTAATCGGAAGAACCGGGTTTGATTCCCCACTCCTCCTCCACATGCAGCCAGCTGGGTGCCCTTTGGCCACTCGTGGTTCTCTCAGAACTCTCTCAGCCCCACCAACCTCACAGGGTGCCTGCTGTGGGTAGAGGACGGGAAGACGATTGTCAACCGCTATGAGACTCCATGAGGTAGAGAAAGTAGGGTATAAAGCCCTGCCCTTTGTCTTCCTTGGAACAGAGGCAAGTTCATTGCCTCCCCGGAAGTTCTTTAGGATGGAACCAGATGACCAGTCTGAAATCAAGATCATCCAGTCCTCCCGAGTCTTCTGTGCCCACTATGAAATCGTTCACCATATTCCCTCAGAATTGCTGTTTCCAACCTCCAGGTGGATCCTGGCGATCTCCCGGAATTACAGCCCATCCCCAGACTACAGAGATCAGTTTCCCCGGAGAAAATGGCTGCTTTGGAAGGAGAACTTTATGGCGACACACCCCTGCTGAGTTCCCTCCCCCTCTAGGGTCACTGTGTCCCCTCTGGCCACCAGTGGGGGATGGGGGGTAGGGGTTGCCAGGTCCAGGTTGGGAATCGGGTTACTAGCTCCCCCCTGGCCACCAGTGGGGGATGGAAAGGAAGGGTTGCGAGATTCAAGTCGGGGAACTACTGGAGGTTTGGAGATGGAGCCTGGGGAGGACATGGACCTCAGTGGGGTCCAGTGCCATAGAGCCCACCCTCCAAAGCAGCCATTGTCTCCAGGTAGGGTTGCCAGCTCTGGGTTGGGAAGTACCTGGAGACTTTGGGGGTGTATCTGGGAGGGGAGGGGCTTCAGCATGGTACAACGCCATAGAGTCCACCCTTCCAAGCTGCCATTTTCTCCAGGGGAACTGATCTCTGTCAGCGGGAGATCAGTTGTAAAAGCGGGAGATCTCCAGACCCCACCTGGAGGCTGGCAATCCTATCTCCAGGGGGACTGATCTATGTAGTCTGGAGATGGGCTGTAATTTCAGGGAATCCCCAGGTCCCACTTGGAAGCTGGAATCCCTAGTTGGGATATTCCTGAAAATGTGGGAGTGGAGCCTGGAGAAGACTGGGGTACAATGGCATAGAGCTCTCAGTGGGGTACACCCCTCCAAAGTATCCATTTTCTCCAGGGGAACTGATCGCTGTAGTCTGGAGCAATGTTCCCTCTAAGCTGTGGAGTCTTGTGAGCAAAAACTCTACTTTGTGAGCTCCTGGCCATTAAAGTTGTGAGCGAGCGATTTGGCTCCCGCATAAATTGGATTGCTCTGGAGCCCTCCTTCCTGAGCTGAGACAAAAATGTGTGAGCCGGAGGCTAAAAAGCTGTGACCTAGCTCACACTAACTCATCTTAGAGGGAACACTGGTCTGGAGATGCTTTTTTGGGTGCCGGCATCCCTCCTCCCCCTCCCCAGGGTCCACCCTCAAACTCCAGGAATGTTCCAGCCCAGGGTTGGCAACCCTACTTAAGCGCATCCTAATTTTGACCAAGTACGCCCCCAGGCTTCCCAGCACACTAAAAGCAGCAGGCCGATATCAGATCAACAGAATGTAATCTAGTTTATTCTCCAAAAACAAAAAGAGAGAGAGAGAGAGGAAACAAAAAATATGAAAACAACCCCCCCAAAAAAAAAGCGCAATTCTTAACACTAGCAGTAAGTAAAATTTATACAACCATTCAGATCTGTATCATAGGATGAAAGTAATCTACATCTCCTCTTATTTTGGTGCTTTGAATTATACATACAAACAACAATTACAGGAACTTGTTCACAATGTGTACAGGCCTGGGAAACGTTCGCCTCGGCGACAAGCTGAATATATCACACCGATTGCCCTGAAACCATCCCGCTTTCCGAATGTTCGGATTTCCGAACGTTCGGCGGCCCGGCAGCCTAGAATGGATGATTTGGTTACACCTTGGATTAATTTATTTTTAATGCATCAACTCGAGCCAGTGAGTGAGGAAAGAGAAAGAGAGAGAGAGAGAGAGAACAAAAAAACCCAACAGTTGGCTGTTTTGTCCATTTTGCCTGCTTTGACCTCGTTTGTCTCGGTCCGTACCCTTCAACATTCCTCCCGGTCGTCTACGACTGTGCCTCAGACACTGGCTCCAAGCGGTTTCTTTACAGCTAAACAGACGCAAGAGTCTTCGTCCGGGGGAAAAAATGTACAGTATTTTCTTACAATATAAGTTATACAGTGTTCAGCATTGAGCCGCTCGCCAGGGGGGAGAGGGAGAGAGGGGCAGGGGCAGAGGGGGAATCATCACTGGTAGTTCTTCTTCACAGCACTAGAAACCCAGTTCAAGAGTGAGCTTGCATCGGAATGGTTTATTCACAAATGGGAATCCCGATGTTGGTGGTTGAAAGAACACACAGACACCTCTAAAAAGCGGCCGGCGGCTGTCCCTTTCCCCCCACACACACACAATGATTTAAAGTTCTACACCTTCAACCAGTTTTTTTTGTTCCTTTAAATTCAATTTCCTTTGCTTTTCCATTTGCATGTCCGGGGCTCGGAATGGGGAAGTCCTCTCCTGCAACAATGCAAGTAGAATCAATGCACCTCTCATTTTGAGAACTTAAAAAGCATTCGGCAGGGAAGTCTGTTTCTCACGCACACGCCGATGCCCGGGGTCGCTCTATCCCATTGCGGTGACCATACTGGACGGGTGGTGAGGCCCGAAAGACAGGCCAGAAGGCGGGTGCATCGGAGTTGGCGTGGACAGCATGTGCCCAGAGTGGCTGAAGGGCGAGATGTGGCTGATGGAAGACATATGTCTCGAGAGGGCGGCGGGGTTGAAGGAGCTGCTCTTGGGGAAGTCTTCCAAGCTGTCGTGGACCTTTTTGCACTTTTTAGACTTGCTCGACATCTTTCGGTTTCGGGTCTGAATGCCTTCCTTCTTCATAGTCAGGGGTCTGTTAATCTAAACAAACATCAATTAACTTTTTGTGGGGTTGAACACACACAAACACATGAAGCTGCCTTCTACAGAATCAGACCCTCGGTCCATCAAAGTCAGTATCGTCTACTCAGACTGGCAGCGGCTCTCCGGGGTTAGGGTTAGGGTCCTTTTAACTGGAGATGCCGGGGATTGAACCTGGGACCTTCTGCACGCCATGCAGATGCTCGGCCAGTGAGCCACGGCCCCAGGCCTCTGTCCCCGCCTTCCCCAAATCACAGACCCTGCCCCCCTCCCAGGATCCAATGACAGAATGGTAAAACTAAGAACATAAGAACGTAAGAGAAGCCATGTTGGATCAGGCCAATGGCCCATCCAGTCCAACAGTCTGTGTCACAAGGTAGCCAAAACGTAGGTGCCCTCAGGAGGTCCACCAGCAGGGCCATAAGAACACAAGAGAAGCCATGTTGGATCAGGCCAATGGCCCATCCAGTCCAACACTCTGTCACACAGTAGCCAAAACCCAGGTTAGGGCTACTGTATTTGGAAGAGCAAAAAAAGAGGACAGATCTCCCAACTGATGACTTCAAATGAGTGATCACTAGGACAAATCTCATTTTAAATTACTGTTTAAGCTGTGATCATTGCTACTGACTAGGAATATCCCTAACCTTCCAATCCAAAAAGAGGACATTTTCATCAGTTTTTGGAAAAGAGCCCAAAAGAGGATGGTCACCCAAAAAAAAAAAAAAAGGACATGTCTTCTAAAAAGAGGACACCTGGTAACCCTAATCCAGGTGCCATCAGGAGGTCCACCAGTGAGGCAAGATTCAAATGGGCTACAAACACCTGAAGCCACCTTAATACCATTGGTAGGGTTACCAACCTCCAGGTGGTGGCTGGGGATCTCCCGGAATTACATCCAATCTCCAGGTGACAGAGGACAATTGACCTGGACAAAATGGCTGCTTTGGGAGGCGGACTCGGTGGCCTTCCACCCTTCTGAGGTCCTTCCCTTCCCCAAGCCCCGCCCTCCTCAGGCTCCACCCCCAAAACCTCCAGTCACTTCCCAACCCAGAGTTGGCCATCAGTGGCTATTAGCCACAAGGTATAGATAGGGACTCTGGGGCAAGTGATGCTCTGTCGTCTTGGTGCTTGGGGGGTCAACAGTGGGAGGGCTTCTAATGTCCTGGCCCCACTGGTGGACCTCCTGATGGCACTGGTATTTCTGCCCACTGTGTGATACAGAGTGTTGGACTGGATGGGCCTTTGGCCTGATCCAACATTGGCGTCTCTTATGTTCTTATGTTAACTCTAGCAATTTGCCCCCCTAACCCTGTACGATCAGCTCCAACAAAGAAGAACTCCACCCGGGTGATTCCCCGCTCTGCCGGTGCATCAGCCCATTGTGCCGAAAGTTATTCCACAGGCAGTTGCAAAATTCACAGACATTAACTATTAAATGCACTTTAATTTAAAAGCTAAATGCATGCCATACTGCAATTTTCCCCCCTCCAGAGTGATTTTCAAAGGGAGGGAAGAGGTGTAAATATATATATATACACACACACACACACACACACACGCCGCATCCTAAAGTTGGGAATCAGTGCTGTAGGATCTCTCCTAGCATTATGAGCGAGATCTTTGTGAACTGGGGGTGCCAGGAATGAACCCGAGACCTTCAGTATTCCAACAAGCACATGCCTTCCCCCTGAGCTAGGGAAGTGGAACATCTCGATTCAGATCCTGGAATTTTTTAAAAAATGAGATATTTATGCTTTCCAATTTCTGTCCTGACCTAAAACACCCATTTATCCAAGTCTGAACACAGACACAATGCCTCAAAGTTGCGATTCACCCCCAACACTGAAAACGAACTCCAATTTACATTTTAATGGAGGAATATTCTTGAATAATTCAGTTTTGCACAGATTCAGGAAGGTAGCCATGTTGGTCTGAAGCAGCAGAACGAAGACTGAGTCCAGCGGCACCTTTAAGACCAACAAAGTCTTAATCCATACAAATAATCCATATGAATAATCGGTAACGTCCACTTCAATGTATCTGAGGAAGTACGCTTGCACACAGAAGCTTATACCTCAACTAAAACTTTGTTGGTCTTAAAAGTGCCGCCGGACTCAAACTTTGTTCTGTTTTGCATCGGTTGTGGAAAGCCAGGAGAGGGGGGAACTTTCTGACCTCCACGGGCAGGCCATTCCGAAAGGTGGGGGCCACAATAGAGAAAACATGTGTATGGGCAGTTGCCAGTTTTACCCATCTCTGGGGTGGCAACTGCTGAAGGCCATGCTCAGATAAGCAAAGCTGTCACGGTGGAGCCAAAGGGGAGAGACTGTCTCACAGATATGAGAGTCCAAGACCTCGTCTCTTACAAATATGTTACATTACTGAGCAACAAGCTTACTTCATGGCCGTTTTGCTAATTCTGAACAGTAAAACCCACTGTTTACCAGCGATTTGCCTCTCCCTGTTCTCCCTCCTCTCTCCTGGCCTTGTGACCCACCTGCAAGAGGGTCATGACCCTTGTTTGGGGCCCTACCCACACTCTGAGAACTACAATTCTACCTAAGTCCCTATACCCTCCCCAGGTCCACCGTACCGCCCCCCCCCCCAACAATGCTATCTGTCTTTCCTGAAATTCCCCTAAACCCTTTTCCCCCATCCAGTGTTGTTATGCTAAATGGGACACGGGGAAACAGGTTTGTCAAGGAAACGAGAGGCACCCTCGCACATGCTCACCAGAAACCTTGTTAGCTGCAGGTGGTGGGGGTTGGTTTCTTTATGCGTCAGGAAAAAATACTGACTGTGGTTGATGAACACCTTCCTTTCTCAACAGGGACTAGACAAGACTGATAAATGGGACATCTTTTGCAAGGGTGACCATTCGCGGGTACGAAGGTTCGACCATTCGCGGGTACGAAGGTTCGACCATTCGCGGGTACCAAGGTTCGACCATTCGTGGGTACCAAGGTTCGCCCATTCGTGGATACAAAGGTTCGCACCAGTGGCAAACATGGATTGATAAGTTGCAAGCTGTTGGTCACTCTCAGACCTGGTGTAAGTCGAAAGATCAGCTGTGCCAGCCGTTTTGCTTTAGGAGTTTCTTTTTTTGAAAGAGGAAGGGAGGGGAGGGGAGGGAGAAGAACGGAGAAGAACAAAGAAGGGAACTCCTGGATCCAATGGGGTGTAAAGACAAGGTCTTTATTGATTTACTCCTTTAGAAAATGTTTATGCTGCCCCTCTAGAGACTGCTATCGTAAGCGTAGAATTAGGGCCAAGGAAACCGTCTTGACAACCCTGAACTTCTCAGTCCCAACTCTAAACAAAGACTACCATTTTGGTCTTGCAAAAACCATGATATGGTTGTATAATTGGGGGATTAATAAGAGGAGAGGCTGTGACTCAGTGGTAGAGCCTCTGCTTGGCATGCAGAAGGTCCCAGGTTCATCTCCAGTTAAAAAGACCGGGCAGTAGGTGATGCGAAAGACCTCAGCCTGAAACCCTGGAAAGCCCTGGAGAGGGGCTGCGGCTCAGTGGATAAGCATCTGCTTGGCAGGCAGAAAGTCCCAGGTTCAATCCTCAGCACCTTCAGTTGAAAAAGGACCAGGCTAGGGCTGCCAAGTCATTCTGACTCACCGGCAGGGAAGCGTTGCTTTGGTCTGGGAGCTGCTGAGGGATGTGTGCGCGTGCACGCAAAGCGCGCATGCACCGCCAGAACGTCACAGGAAGTGACGCACGACGTAGAGCACGTTGGGGGTTACCCGCCACCCGCCCCCACTTGGCAGCCCTAGACCAGGCAGTAGGTGATGTGAAAGACCTTCCTGGAGAGCTGCTTCAGGTCTGAGTAGACAACATTAAGTTCGATGAACCAAGGGTCTGATCCAGCATAGGGCAGTTTCATGTGCATCGTGTGTGTCAGTGATTTGCATCAGAGTTGGGGGGCATCGAGTTGGGGGGTAGAGTTTATCAGAAGACCAAGCCCATCTAACCCTAGCTTTCTTTTGATGGAGGCTTGATTAGGAGTCGTGGAGGGCAGATCTAGCCTGTGGCTGCTGAGCAAACAACAAGACAACATTAGGAAGAACTTCCTGACAGAGCCGTTCCTCAGAGGAACAGGCTTCCTCGGGAGGTAGTGGTGGGCTCTCCACCTTTGGAGGTTTTCAGACAGAATGGCCATCGGACAGCGATGCTGATTCTGTGAACTTGGGCAGATCACGAGAAGGGAGGGCAGGGAGGGTTGCCTCAGTGCTTAGTTCTCGTGGCCCTTTCTTACACACCCAGGGAAATGCCGATCGCCACTTTGGGGATCCGGAAGCAATTTTTCTCCAGGCCAGTTTGGCCAGAGATCCTGGAGGTTTGTTTTTGGGGTTTTTTTGCCATCTTCTGGGCATGGAGCAGTATTTGGGAGGGAGGTATTTGTGAATGTCCTGCATTGTGCAGGGGGTCGGACTAGATGACCGTGGCAGTCCCTTCCAACTCTGTGGTTCTATCATTCTTCTCCAGCCATTCCAAATCGCCCTGAGAAGCAGATAAGACACTTATTTTGTAATCGAACAAAGTTTGAGTCCGGCGGCACCTTGAAGACCAACAAAGTTTAATTCTGGGCGCCCGCTTTTCTGCGTTGGTCTTCAAGGTGCCACTGGGCTCAAACTTTGTTCGGTCGCTTCAGACCAACACGGCTGAACCACCAAAAGGAGTACCGTCTTCAAGACGCCATCTTTTTACTGAAGTTTGTTCCGAAACATCTAGAGCACTTATAATGTTGTAATGTTTTATTGATGGTTTTATGCGATTTTAATCTGTTTTTATGTATTGGCTTACGCCTTATTTGTGAGCCATCCTGAGCCCGCTTGCGGGGAGGGTGGGCTATAAATTAAAATAATAAATAAGAATAAATAAATATACCAGGGTTTTGACAACAAACAAGGTAAACAGAATAACAAGCAAAAGGTGGGTGTGGCTGGATAACGACACTTCTGGTAACATGGGGGTGCGGCCTAATGTGCTAATAAGCTGTGCGGTCAGGGGGGTGGCCTAATATGCGAATGGGTTTCTGCTGTTGGGTGTGGCCTATTATGCTAATGAGTTCCTGCTGGGCTTTTTCTACAAAAAATGCCCTGGTAATCACTACCAACTCCAATGGTATACCACCTTCTGGACGAGAAATATATACTGTACGTTTAGTCCTGCAAAAAGACTCTGTTTTCAACTCTGCTAGGATCCCTTATCTAGCCTATTGCTACAAATTCCTTTTTGCAATTTCCTTTACTCATTAGAGTTGCTTGAACAACCCTCAACATGCATTGAAGTGCATTGCATGATGAGTTCTTTACCTGTCTGTCGCAGAAACAATAGCTTTCTTTAAGGAAATGCCAGGATCAGAAAGTTGGAAGGGGCCATATAGGCCAACTAGCCCAATCCCCTGCTCAGTGCAGAATCAGCCTAGAGCATCCCGGACAAGTGTTTGTCCAGACGTTGCTTCAAGACTGCCAGGGAGGGGGAGCCCACCACCTCCCGAGGCAGCTGATTCCACTGTTGAACAACTCTTGAGTATAAAAAAGCTTTCCCTAAGATCCAGCCGGTACCTTCCCGCCCTTAATTTAAACCCATTCTTGCGAGTCCTCTCCTCTGCTGCCAACAGGAACAGCTCCCTGCCCTCCTCTAAGTGACAGCCCTTCAAATACTTCAAGAGAACAATCCCGTCCCCCCTCAGCCTCCTCTCCTCCAGACTGAACCTTTCCAGATCCCTCAGCCTTTCCTCATAGGGCTTGGTCTCCAGGCCCCCAATCATCCTCTCTCCTCTGCCCACATCCTTTTTGAAGTGAGGCCTCCAGAACTGCACACAATACACAGTGCAGCCTGACCAATGTGCTGTACAGAGACATCTTGTAATTTGGATTTTACGCTTCTGTTGATATAACCCAAGACTGCATTAGCCTTGTTTGCTGCTGCATCACACTGCTCATATTTACAGTCCACCTGCATCCCAAGATCTTGCTCACACACAATACTGCCCAGAAGTATACTCCCCATCCAGTATGTGTGCTCCTCCTTTTTATTACCCAGATTAGAACTCTGCACTTATCCTTGTCGAATTGCATCTTATTCACATCTAATGAGAAGAGCTCTTAAAGCAAAGTCTATGCAGGACTTGGCCAGACATGTTCTACAGTTGGTTCACAGAGTTCTTAAAGTCAACAACAACAACAAAACTGAATTAGGTTAATCCTTGTAGATGTGTTTTGGGCAAGTGACCATCTCACTTACATTGTGGAGCTTGTAGTACAGTCCGCAGGCATTGCACACTGGATCCCCATTGGCGTTCCTCCTCCAGAGGGTGGTGGTGGTAGTCTGGCAATTTGCGCATGATGTCCCTGCCCTCCTTGCGGCAGACTGTAGAGAGAGAAAAAGAGAAAATGCAACCATGTCACAAAGAACACTCAGGATGGATGTACATTTAGAGTTGCAAATGATGGACCAGTCCGACCATTGCTGCAATCAGCAGAAAATCGAAGAACAGAGGTCCATCAGTAGCTATCAGCCACAAGGTATAGATGGAACACTGTGTCTGGGGCAGTGATGCTCTGTATACTTGGTGCTTAAGGGGCAACAGGGGGAGGGCTTCTGGAGTTCTGGCCCCGCTGGTGGACCTCCTGATGGCACCTGGGTTTTGGGCACTGTGTGACACAGAGTGTTGGACTGGATGGGCCACTGGCCTGATCCAACATGGGTTCTCTTATGTTCTTATGGCCCTGCTGGTGGGCCTCCTGAGGGCACCTGGGTTTTGGCCCCTGTGTGACACAGAGTGTTGGACTGGATGGGCCATTGGCCTGATCCAACATGGCTTCTCTTATTTTCTTATGGCCCTGCTGGTGGGCCTCCTGATGGCACCTGGGTTTTGGCCACTGTGTGACACAGAGTGTTGGACTGAATGGGCCATTGGCCTGATCTAACAAGGCTTCTCTTATGTTCTTATGGCCCATTGTTAAGACAGAGGAACTGTTGGGGACTGAAGGACCTAACTGAGCAACTCATGGTATTGTGTCAAATTGGCACAGATTAGATGTTGCTTATCTACCAATGTCATGTGGACTCATTCCAAGCAACAAATACAGCATCTGCTATTCATAGTTCATGGAAGAAAATTAGCTATTCATGTTTTGGGATTTCATTTTTTTACAGTAACAGCCCAAATGTGGGGGGGGGGGGAATCTACCATTCTCCACTTGAAACTTCCTTATACTGAATCAGAAACTTGGTCTGTCAAAGTTAGCACGGTCTGCTCAGACTGGCAGCAGCTCTTCAGGGTCTCAGGCAGAGGTCTTTCACATCACCTCCTGCCTGGGATGCCGGGGATGGTGACATGGCAAGTGATGTATGTCACCCCCACAAATAAAGCCTCCAGGTTTTGCTGGCATTTGCAAAGAGAGGTGATTGTCAAATACCATCTTAACAGTGCTGCTGGATCAGACCAGTGGTCCATCTAGTCCAGCATCCTAAGAACATCAGAAGAGCCCTGCTGGATCAGACCAGTGGCCCATCTAGTTGGCGTTCCTCCTCCAGAGGGTGGTGGTGGTAGTCTGGCAATTTGCGCATGATGTCCCTGCCCTCCTTGCAGCAGACTATAGGGAGAGAAAAAGAGAAAATGCAACAATGTCACAAAAACCACTCAGGATGGATGTACATCTAGAGTTGCAAATGATGGACCAAATCAGCAGAAAATCGAGGAACAGAGGTCCATCAGTAGCTATCAGCCACAAGGTATAGATGGAACACTGTGTCTGGGGCAGTGATGCTCTGTATACTTGGTGCTTAAGGGGCAACAGGGGGAGGGCTTCTGGAGTTCTGGCCCCGCTGGTGGACCTCCTGATGGCACCTGGGTTTTGGCCACTGTGTGACACAGAGTGTTGGACTGGATGGGCCATTGGCCTGATCCAACATGGCTTCTCTTATTTTCTTATGGCCCTGCTGGTGGGCCTCCTGATGGCACCTGGGTTTTCAACATCCTGAGAACATGAGAAAAGCCCTGCTGGATCAGACTAGTGGTCCTTCTTGTCCAGCATCCTAAGAATGTAAGAAGAGCCCTGATGGATCAGACCAGTGGTCCATCACATTCAGCATCCATGCTCCATCCCTACATCTCCAGGAGTTTCCCAACCTGGATCTGGCAACCCTACCCCTCATCCCCTGCCAGTGGCAAGGGGGGACCTGGCAACCCTAATAATAATAGTAATAACAACAACAACAAGAAAGCACCATCAAGTCGCAACAGACTTATGGCAACCCTCAAGGGGCATTCAAGGCAAGAGATGAGCAGAGGTGGTTTTGCCATTGCCTCCCTCTGTATATCCACCCTGGACGTCCTTGGTGGTCTCCATCCAAGTTCATAACCATGTGTAGCTTCCACACTCTGACAAGCTTAGGCTAGTCTGGGCTATTCAGGCTGTTCGGATTGAGGGATGAGTGATGGGAACTTCCAAAATGTTAATTCAAGATTGTCTAAGGTGGTTGATTGTGCCAGAGGGACCAGAGTGATTGGTTTTTAATGAAGCAGAACACATATTTATGTTGGGGTTGTCCCCCTGATTGTAGGTCAGAACGCACACGACTGAATATTCCCCCATGTAAAAATTCCCCTGCACAATGGAAGTTAGATGTCAGGAAGGAAGCATTCAGGTCTAGCTAGGGTTGCCAGCTCCGGGTTGGGAAATATCCAGAAATTTTGGAGTGGTGTTACCCAGTGTTCCCTCTAAGCTGAGTTAGTGTGAGCTAGCTCACAGTTTTTTTAACCTCCGGCTCACACATTTTTGTCTTAGCTCAGGAAGGAGGGCTCCAGAGCAAACTAATTTACACAGTAGCCAAATCGCTCGCTCACAACTTTAATGCCGATAGCTCACAAAGTAGAATTTTTGCTCACAAGACTTCAAGCTTAGAGGGAGCGTTGGTGTTACTCTAAGTGGGAGGGTGGGGTTTGGGGAGAGGAGCGACCTTGGCTGGGTACGGTGCCACAGACTCCGCCCTCCAACGCCGCCATTTTCTCCAGGGGAAACTGATCTCTGTTGTAATTCCAGGAGATCTCCAGGCCCTGCCTGGAGTCTGGCAACCCAAAGTCTGGCCTTTTCTATGCTTGTGAACTTTCTCTCTGTGTTTAATATTGATAAGCCTGTGGAGGGGTTAAGGGGGGTGAAGCAGAATATATGTTTGATCTTTTTTGTATCTCTCCAGCAGAAACAATATTGGGTCGATACAGTCTGATTGAATGTGATTTATGCCTTCATGCGTCAACAGGGCCCTTCCACACTCTACACTGGACAAACAGGCCAGTCCCTTTGACAAGGAATGAATGGGCATAAGTCTGATATTAGGAACCTCAACATTCAAAAACCACTGGGGGAACATTTTAAGCTTCCAGGACATTCAGGGAGATTAAAAAGAGAGACTGCTGAATTGCAATTGATAATGAAGCTCAAGACAACGCATCCACCTGGACTGAATAGAGACCTAGGTTTCCTTTCTCATTACCAAGGCTGATTTCTCCACGGCTATTACCCCTCTGCATATCTCACTTGCTATCACATGCCTGCTATTGTCATTTGCCTGCTAATGTCATTCGACATCTGAAATCACTCCACTTTCCAATAAATAGGACCGATGGACTCACTTTCTAGCTGTATCTGTAGAAGTGAGCAGTGACTCACGAAAGCTCCTACCCTGCCACATATATTGTTAGTCTTTCAGGTGCTCTTGGACTTTTGCTCTTTTCTACTAATTGAAAGTACATGAGTTTAGGGTTAAGTTTTCTTGACCAGGCCCTGGCCTCCACCCTAATGTTACCTCTCAGAGGTCAACTGCCTCTGAATATGGAGGTTTAGCCTTCCTTCTCTAATATGGGGACAGTACCATATCAAACAGGCTTCTTTTTAGATTCACTGGTTCAATTGCCCATGTAGGTTCTCCGGAACGTAGGGAGTAAGGAAAGCATGGTAAAAATCCTGTATGTAATTTGCTTGGGCTAATTTGGAAAAAAAATAAAGTTAAATTACTCTTCCCACGCTACTGTAACCCCAGGCTACCCAGTTAAATGACGATGGGGAGGAGACCTGGGACCCATAATTAGCAGATGGAGTCCCTAACAAGCTGTTTTTTATGAACTTCAACACTGTGTCAGACAAAGCCACGGAGGCTACGTCCATGGTGACGACATGGAGCCTCCATGGTCGCTTTCGTTTGTTTTTGTGTTTGACAAACGGGAGCTTCGGCTCTCAAAAGCTTCTACTTCAAAAATCGCCTTGGTCTTCAAGGCGCAGCAAGGGATGCCAGCCTCCAGGTGGGACCTGGGGATCCCCTGGAATTTCAGCTCATCTCCAGACGACAGAGATCAGTTCCCCTGGAGAAAACGGCTGCTTTGGGGGGTGGGCTCTGTGGCACTGTGCCCCACTGGGGTCCCGTGTCCTCCCCAGGCTCGCTCCCCAATAGGGCTGCCAGCCTCCAGGTGGGGCCTGGGGATCTCCCGTTTTGACAACTGACCTCCAGCTGACAGAGATCAGCTCCCCTGGAGAAAACGGCTGCTCTGAAGGGTGGACTCTATGGCATTGGACCATGCTGAGGCCCCTCCCCTCCCCAAGCCCCGCCCTCTTCTGGGTCCACCCCCAAAGTCTCCAAGTATTTTCCAACCTAGACCTGGCAACCCTACTCCCCAAATCTCCATCTGGAGATGAGCCCCCTTGGAGACTGGTGGCATCCCTAATGATTATACCTGTGTGGTTTTTAAAAAAAACTTACAGCATGAACCACTCTCGTTGAGAGAGGGGTAAAAGAGGAAGGCAGGGTATCCACTCCTCTTTTTCATTCTCTCTTTTAAAGAGCAGCATCCTAAGAACACCCATAACGTATGGCGCCCCACAAATGAAGCCTCCAGCTTTTGCTGGAGTTTGCAAAAAGAGGCGGTTGTCAAATACTGTACGTGACCGGTAGGCTTGAAGATATCAGAACAGCCCTGCTGGGGCTGGGGTGACATCAGCAGCCGGCTTGCTAGAGAATCTGTGGAATATATAACCATAAGTCTTTGGGTCGGATACACTCTAGACTTTCCATCTGTGGGAATAGGGCTGCCAGTTCCAGGCTGGAATCCCTAGTTTTGAAATTCCAGGAGATGTGGGAGTGGAGCCTGGGGAAGACAGGGACCTCTGTGGGGTACAATGCCACAGAGTCCACCCTCCCAAACATCCATTTTCTCCAGGGGAGTTGATCAGATCAGTGCTCCATCTCATTCAGTATGCTAAGAACATCAGAAGAGACCTGCTGGATCAGACCAATGGTCCATCTAGTCCAGCATCCCAAGAACAGAAGAAGAGCCCTGCTGGATCAGACCAGTGGTCCATCTAGTCCAGCGT